GCTGGGATTATAGGTCTGAGCCACCACAGTCGGCCCCCGTGGCTTTCACTGATACCACTTCCTCAGCTGTCCATCTTGTTACCCTTTTCTTAGGAATGCCTCTTCTGCTATTCTGTTAGCCATCCTTACCACCCATTTCCATTCTGACCAGGAACAAGATCACCATGATTGCTGAGCCTCTTGAGAAGGGCCTGGCAGAGGACATAGAGAATGAGGTGGTCCAGATTACATGGAACAGGTGAGAAGAGGGCTCTGACACCAGGATCGAAAGGAGGCGGGGATGCCGCAGCTTACCTGCCGGGTCTCTAAGAGCACACATCTTTCTGGGAAGCATTTATGTCTTTGCCGTTGCTCTTGTTCTGGGCACAGTGGGTAGGATGAGGTGACTGTCTTCCAGGAAGGGAGGGTCTATGGCTCCAGGACCAGCAATCACAGAGCTGGCCGACAGCTCCATTGTCCCCTCCTTTCCCCAGGAAGAAGCTGGGAGAGTTCTTCCAGACCAAGTACGATTGGGATCTACTAGCTGCCCGTTCCATCTGGGCTTTTGGCCCTGATGCGACTGGCCCCAACATTCTGGTGGATGATACTCTGCCCTCTGAGGTACAGCAGAACTGATGGGAACCGGGTGGCAGTCTCTTACCTCTGGAGTGGAAGAAACTACAAAGTGTTCTTTTCCCAAAAGTATCTTGTGTCCTCTGATGAAGGACAGTATCCCCTTACAGGCACATCTATCTTCTCCCTCTAAACGCTTCAGCTGTTGCCAGGGTGACTGCTAAGGAGGCCTCATGTTTCTCTGTAGGTGGACAAGGCTCTTCTTGGCTCAGTGAAGGACAGCATCGTTCAAGGTTTCCAGTGGGGAACAAGGGAGGGCCCCCTCTGTGATGAATGTAAGTCCGCCAGCACTCCTCCACCCCAGTCCTCGAGGGTCCCTGCAGCCAGGCATATGAGTGGGATGGGCTCACCATCTTTAGGACCCGGCAGGAGAAGCAGCTTGGGGTACACAGGACCATCCCGTGTCCTGGGCCAGCTTCTTCCCTTCTTCCTTATCCTGGTGGTGTAGCCTGGAAATTTAAGTCATTTCTGAACTGTCATTTGCTCCTCATTTCTGAGAAGGGTTTGGCCTTGGACATATTTGAGAAGAGATATCAAGAGGATGATGAGATTGGAGTGGTTAATAGACCCTGATTGGGCTTCGTGCACCAAATGTACAATTCTGGAATTCTACATCCACAAAAATGTAAATATGTGCAGAAGAAAGAAATAAACTTCTAGGAAAGCTCTATGTCTGAGCATGGCCTGAAGCAAACACTAAGAACATATGCTTAACTTCTGACCTCTGCCATGGGCCTTGCTTATTCAGTTAGAACGCCCACCTTCCATGTGATTTTTGTATCATGTCTTTCATGACTGCAAGACAGCTGCAGTGTTGCAGGAGACTGCTACTCCACCATGGCCCCATGACAGGCCCAGAACCTCTCCCCAGTCACTGCCTCCACCTCCTTTACAGTGATTCGGAACGTCAAGTTTAAGATCCTGGATGCAGTGGTTGCCCAGGAGCCCCTACACCGGGGCGGGGGCCAGATCATCCCCACAGCGAGGCGAGTCGTCTACTCTGCCTTCCTCATGGTAAGAGAATGGGGCTGTAGGAGACCATCTGCTTCGCTGGACTGCGGACTAAGTGAAGAAGCAAGTGGGACTATAGGCCCTCAGCCTTCCCTACGCTGAGGGACCTTTCTTCTTGCTCTGCTGCAGGCTACTCCTCGTCTGATGGAGCCTTACTACTTTGTAGAGGTCCAGGCCCCTGCAGATTGCGTCTCTGCAGTTTATACCGTCCTGGCCAGGCGCAGGTGAGCAGCCCCAGCCCCAGGCCTATTAGGAAGAGTGCTGAGAGCAAGAGCACAACAAGAGTCACCTCAGCTTCTGCAGGGAGAAGAGGTTGGCCTCCCCTACCCTCTTCACTCTGGAAACCTGTGAGCTGATTTTCCAGAAAGAAGTAGGAACAGAGGGAGGCAAGCCCCAGCTTTTCTGCAGATTAAAATTTGACATTTCTCCATCCTGGCTAACAAGGTGAAACCCCGTCTCTACTAAAAATACAAAAAATTAGCCGGGCGTGGTGGCGGGCACCTGTAGTCCCAGCTACTCAGGAGGCTGAGGCAGGAGAATGGTGTGAACCCGGGAGGCGGAGCTTGCAGTGAGCCAAGATGGCGCCACTGCACTCTAGCCTGGGTGACGGTGTGAGGCTCCATATCAAAAAAAAAAAAAAAAATAGACATTTCTTTGGGATCCCCTCCTCACAGAGCTGTTGGAGGAAGTGCTGAGGCAAGTCAGTGATGGAAATGTCTTTGGGCTCTTGTCCCATCGCCATCCCACTCCTGTCCTCTGCTCAGAGGTTGCTGCCACTTTGACTTCCACAGGCAATTATACTGAGAGCCCTGAGCCTTTCCTGCTTTCTGTAGAACATTCTTGGTTACTCTTTTTTTGATGGTAACTCTGGGGTGGAATGCATTTGGGAACAGCAAATGCTGGATTGCTTCTTGGCTTTTGGCCTGTGTGTGGCTAGAGACTCAGCCTTTGTTTTTCTCTCTCAGGGGTCATGTGACTCAGGATGCACCCATCCCAGGCTCCCCTCTGTACACCATCAAAGCTTTTATCCCAGCCATCGACTCTTTTGGCTTTGAGACTGATCTTCGGACTCACACCCAGGGACAAGCCTTTTCTCTGTCTGTCTTCCACCATTGGCAGGTGAGAAAACAATGCAAGCTGGCAGATTTGGCTTCCCACCTCTGCAAGCCTCATCCCCTCTGTCCTGATCCCTCTCCAAGCCTTAAGTGAGGTGTACAGCATACTAGAGAAGAGTCCTGGCCGGGCACGGTGGCTCAAGCCTGTAATCCCAGCACTTTGGGAGGCCGAGACGGGCGGATCACGAGGTCAGGAGATCAAGACCATCCTGGCTAACACGGTGAAACCCCGTCTCTACTAAAAATACAAAAAACTAGCCGGGCGAGGTGGCGGGCGCCTATAGTCCCAGCTACTCTGGAGGCTGAGGCAGGAGAATGGCGTAAACCCGGAAGGCGGAGCTTGCAGTGAGCTGAGATCCGGCCACTGCAGTCCAGCCCGGGATACAGAGCAAAACTCCGTCTCAAAAAAAAAAAAAAAAAAAAAAAAAAGAGAAGAGTCCTCTTCTGGGTTACATGTATTCAGGGCAACTTGAATCTGTGTCTCTCAGTTTAAAATTAAAAAGAATAGAAATAATAGGGCCGGCTGTGGTGGCTCACACCTATAATCCCAGCACTTTGGGAAGCCGAGGCGGGCAGGTCACCTGAGGTCAGGAGTTCAAGACCAGCTTGACCAACATGGAGAAACCCCATCTCTACTAAAAATACAAAATTAGCCGGGCGTGGTGGCGCATGCCTGTAATCCCAGCTACTTGGAAGGCTGAGGTAGGAGAATCACTTGAACCCAGGAGGTGGAGGTTGCAGTGAGCTGAGATCATGCCATTGTACTCCAGTCTGGGAGACAAGCGAAACTCTGTCTCAAAAAAATAATAATAATAAGTAATAAATTTTAAAATAAAATAAATAAGAGTCCTGCTTCTGGGCCTGAATCTTCTGGGAATTCTGCCTGGGCCATCTGAAATTCCTTTGCCTTTTAGATTGTGCCTGGTGATCCTCTGGACAAGAGCATTGTCATCCGCCCCTTGGAGCCACAGCCGGCTCCTCACCTGGCCCGGGAATTCATGATCAAAACCCGCCGTAGGAAGGTATGTCTCCCTTGGGCCTGTTGCCATCCCTTAACCTCCCAGGACTCTCAGAAGCAGGATCTCCCTCTCTTTCTTTTGGCCCCTTTTCCTAAGGGACACTTTTCCAGTGTAGAGATATGATCTGTATACTCCTTAGACAACCAAACCTGGACCCCAGTCTCATTGGGAAAGGAGAGCCTTATCCTCCCATGTGATAGTACCCTAAAGGCAGGACTCCTGAAACACCACCACCTACATTCCAGCCACCACTAGCCTCCCCACTGAGCACAGGTCTTGGTTGGTCTCCCCGCTCAGTCTGCGACCACCTCAGGCTTTCTTGTATTTGCCCCATTCCCTGCAGGGCCTCAGTGAAGATGTGAGCATCAGCAAATTCTTCGATGATCCTATGTTGCTGGAGCTTGCCAAACAGGATGTTGTGCTCAATTACCCCATGTGAGTGCACAGACTCCTCGGAGCTTCTGCTCTCTACAGTGAGCTGCAACTCCTGTACTTGAAGCTGAGACCTCGTATGATGTTGACATGGCCTTGGTGTTGTCAGAGTGTCTGGAAGCTGCTGCTGCCATCTTGAACAATTCACCAACCTCCAACCCAGAGCCCCAGTGAGAGAGGGGCATTTGGCCTCCTGCTTCCTTCTGTGACCTCTGCCAGGCTCCTTTCCCAAGGGAAAGAGAGGAGCTTGGGCTCACAGAAAGAGAAAGGGATGAAACCCCAAGGGGCCCTATCTTTGGGATTTACATGGAATTTTATTTTCTACAAGTTTGACCTTAGCCATGGTTTGCAAGTGAACAGAACATTCTGACCTCTGTCTTGCTCTGCTTCTTTCATCCCCGTCTCCCCTGCCCCTTCTGGTGCTGGTGCTTACATTCTGAATATATGTCATCTCCCAAGAGGCTTCACTGCCTCTGCTTCCAGCTGCAGCCTCCTTCCTGCCTGGGTCCCCAGGGAAGCTGCCTGCCTTTTAATTCAGTGTTCCCATGAGCACCAAGGCCCCAGTATTGCCCTCCTTGCTCCCACTCCGTGCTGCTTCTGGGTGGGACCTAAGATGGCTTGGGAGTTGTTGGGTTCTTGGGATCAGAGGTCTACCCCACCACCTCCTCAGGAAACTACTGCCTCCCCTAAGAATCTCCCTTGCCCTGGAGTAGGGGGCCAGAGCCCTTTGATTTCCAGACACTCCAGGTCCTCTCCCCAGCCACTGCCAATCCTTTACTCTGTTCTCCCCCAGTGAAAAAGAGTCGGTTGATTTTCCTCAAAGCTACTTTATTAGGAATGTACTAGGGATTGATTTAGGGGAGTCGGACGGCCCCAGCTCCTATAGGAGTCCTACTTCTCTCCAGTATCCTGTGCCATCCTCTTGATGTAATCACTGTACATTGTGTACACAGCACCTGTGTGAGGGAAAAGAAATAGTGCCCCTTGGCATCAAACCCTTTACCCGTCCTCTGGCTCTCTCAGGTGTCCCAGGGGTTCACCTCTAGCTACTCCCTTGAGAGTCCAGCTTCCTGCTCATCTTTCTGCCCCAGGTCCCAACAGCTATTCCAAGCATCTGACCACACAGCCCGGGGAAACCACCCATCTGACAGTTCACAAAACACTTTCACATGTATTGTGTATCTGAGAAACCTTACAGCAGTCTGCGAGGTAGGCAAGCCAGGGGTGGTTATTGTCATATTACACATCAGGAAACTGAAGCTCAGTGGGAAAGATTTGTCCACTGTCACACAGGTAGCAAGTGGCTGGCTGCTTTTTAATGTCAAGAGGAAGAGAAATTCAATATATGTTCTGTTGCATGATTTTTCTCACCCCTAGGGCAAACTGTCATGAGACACTGTGCACTGTCCTCACAGGCCTGGGACAGGAGCCTAAACAGGGAAAATGGCTCAGTATAGGGGCTTCACCAAGGACATGATGTGGATCCCAGAACAGGAACCTAAGTCACAGTCCTTTTTTTTTAATTTATTTTTTTAATTTTTGAGACAGACTCTCACTCTGTCACCCAGGCTGGAGTGCAGTGGTGGATCTCTGCCCGCTGCAGCCTCCACCTCCCAGGTTCAAGCAATTCTCCTGTCTCAGCCTCCCGAGTAGCTGGGACTACAGGCATCTGCCACTACCACGCCCAGCTAATTGTATTTTTAGTAGAGACTGGGTTTCACCGTGTTGGCCAGGATGGTCTTGATCTCCAGACCTCATGATCTGCCCGCCTCAGCCTCCCAAAGTGTTGGGATTACAGGCATGAACCTCCACACGCAGCCAAGTCACAGTCCCTTTAAGTGTTGGGACTTAAAGACCTACAGACTCTGCGTAATTGGTTTTGCCCTCATTCTCCTGCGACCCCACAAAGCCACTCACCTAGCATGATTGCACCCACTGCACAGGCCTGCGCTGCCACTCGGGTGTGAATCAGGTGTATGGACATCTTGGTGGAACCACGAGACCTCAGCCGGTAAATCCTGTATGCTGCTACCACCAAGCAGCCTCCTAAGCCTGTGGGCAGAGAACACAGCCCCTGGGCCATGGCCACAATGCACAGCACTCCCCTGATGAGACATACCAGGCAGGCTGGGGACCTGGATAAACAGCTGCTTTTATGCAGCATCTGGTGGTTGGGGTTGCGGGGGACCTAGGGGATCCTTAGAATATTGAGTCATTGCCAGGGTGTGGTGGCTCATGCCTATAATCCCAGCACTTTTTTGAGACCAAGGCAGACAGATCACCTGAGGTTGGGAGTTAGAGACCAACCTGACCAACATGGAGAAACCTGGTCTCTACCAAAAATACAAAATTAGCCAGGTGTAGTGGGGCATGCCTGTAATCCCAGCTACTCAGGAAGCTGATGCAGGAGAATCACTTGAACCCAGGAGGCGGAGGTTGTGGCGAGCTGAGATTGTGCCATTGCACTCCAGCTGGGGCAACAAGAGTGAAACTCCGTCTCAAAAAAAATAATAATATTGAGTTGTTGCCCTTCAATGGCGTTCTCAAAGTGGCTGCCTCCCTCCAGTGATGCCCCTCCCCCAAATACAAATAGCTGATCACCACCAGTGACACCCCTCCCCCAAATACAAATAGCTGATCACCACGACACAGCCCCTGCCCACCAATTTGCTCCGCCCTGGGCCCTTCTCCAGCCACACTGCTGGCTCCCACCTCCTGGTACAGCTGTTTTCCTACTCTACCAGGTCCGTCAGGAAGGAAGCCCTGGGGGACCCCAAGGTGTTTCTCTGACCCTTCCCACTTTGTTGTTGGTGCTCCAGGTTCCTCGTATCCCATGTGCTCGGTTGGCCGCCACCTCCACCCATCCAGACGTCCTCATTTCATTGTAAGGGTTTGCCCCTTGGCACCTTTGCTGTTGGTTCCCTAGTTTCGTGAGTAGGACCATTTGAGTTTTCTGACCTCTGCTTCATTCTCTTTGGAGGGTACCAGGAGACATGACTGCTCAGAGAAGGCCTCCTACTTGCACCCCATTCCTTTCTTCACTTACCTATAGGCACCAGCGGAGATTCCCGAGTCTTCCTCAGGAGCTTCTCAGACACACTGTCTTTGTCGTCAGGTGGTACCCACCAGCTTCTGTTAGCAGACATAATCCTGGACCTGGATGTAAGCAGCTGGGACTCCTAGGCTGCAGCCCAGTCCTAGAGAGAGAGGCACGCACAATCAGAACTGTGATTCCTCAGTCTGGAGAGGAAAGGAAGGTTACCTGCTAAGACCCTCTCTCACCATGCCCTAACACAGCCTCTGCTTGAAAAGATGTCCCTCCCAGGTATCCCATCTCAGATGGTCGGGCCACTAGTGCCATTTCTCCATCTCCATTTCCTACCATCTGCCTCTTCCCCAGCTCGTTCTGACTTCACTGTTTTCTCAGCTTCCCCTTCCCCCATCTGCATCCCTATGGGTGTGATCCTTGGGCCAAGGAAAACAGCTGGAAAAATCCACAGATGGCGGTGGGAGAAACAGTCCTTGAGTGTTGGGGCCCCCGCTGGCCTTTGGTCTGTGATGGTTGCTCCTGTGGGAGCTACAGAGCAGGATCTGGCCCCAGGGAGCCAGAACCATCCTAGACCAGATAGTATCACAGCATTGGTTACCAAATTGCCAGAGATTATAATGATCGGACATTGATTTGCATGTAATTTATAATATATTTTGCACGTGGTACTAAAGGAACACATTCTGGTTCCTGAGCTCCTCCTGTTTTTCCAGGTCCATCTCTTTCCAAACAGGTTCTTCACAATTACCAACTGGCTACCTTCATCCCTGGGCTGGAAACAGGGGTTCTGCCAATGGGATGCCTTCTGTTTTTTTTTGTTTTTGTTTTTGTTTTTTTTTTTTTGAGACGGAGTCTCGCTCTGTAGCCCCAGCTGGAGTAGCCATCTCGGCTCACTGCAACCTCCACCTCCCTGTTCAAGCAATTCCACCTCGGCCTCCTAAGTAGCTGGGATTACAGGTGTGCACCATGCCCAGCTAATTTTGTGTATTTTTTTAGTAGAGACGGGGTCTCACGCTGTTAGCCAGGCTGGTCTTGAACTCCAGACCTCTTGATCCGCCCACCTTGGCCTCCCAAAGTGCTGGGATTACAGGTATGAGCCACCATGCCCTGTCCAATGGGATGCCTTCTACGCCTAACCATAGGACAAACTTTCTTTTCTTTTTTTCTTTTTTTTCTTTTTTTTTGAGGCAGGGTCTCACTTTGTCACTCAGGCTGGTGTGCAGTGGCAATCACTGCAAACTTGACCCTTTAGACTCAAGCAGTGCTTCCACCTCAGTGTCTCAAGTAGCTGGAACTACAGGTGCGTGCTACCACGCCCAACTAATTTTTGTATTTTTTGTAGAGACAGTTTTGCCATGTCGCCCAGCCAGTCTTGAACTCCTGAGCTCAGACGATCTGCCCACCACGGCCTCCCAAAGTGCTGGGATTACAGGCATGAACCCTGTACCTGCCCTTGAGTCAGCTTCTATCCTAGTTATCCCTCCTCTCCTGGAGGAGCAAGGACTGGTGGCCCCCCAGGTCATTGGCATGCTGGTGCTTACCCTAGGAGATGGCTAGAACGAGGAGCGCGAGCGGCCAGGCCACGGCTCAGCATCTGCTGTTTTGAACCGGCCAAAAGCTGAGATGGAGCTGCCACTATGGGGTCAGGGAAGCAGTGACTTGGGCTTTATGAAGACTTTGAAGTCAGGGATGGAGAGGGGAGGGGAAAGGACAGGGGATCGGTCTTAACCCCCAGTTTGCTGAGTCCCAAGTCAGAGCTCCAGGCGCTGCAAAGTAAGGAAAGACCAAATGGAGGGGGGGCCCCTAACTAGATTCAGTCTTCTAATTCCCATAGAATTAAGTGTCTGGATCAGAGAGAGGCTTGATGTGGAGAATGGAGATGGAGATACAGGAACAAGGATGAACAGAAAGCCTGGGTCCCCCAAGTTAACACTCCCTCAGATACTCTTATGAACAATGTGGGATGTGAATAAAATACCCTAGTTGTGAGAGACAGGCTCTCTGGGCTGTCTTTTAGTTTGGGATTTTTTTTTTTTTCCCCAAGACGGAGTCTTGCTCTGTCACCCAGGCTGGAGTGCAGTGGCACAATCTCAACTCACTGCAACCTCCACCTCCTGGGTTCAAGCGATTCTCCTGCCTCAGCCTCCTGAGTAGCTGGGATTACAGGTGCACGCCACCGTACCCAGCTAATTTTTTTATTTTTAGTAGAGGTGGCGTTTCACCATGTTGGCCGGGCTGGTCTCGAAATCCTGACCTCATGATCCACCTGCCTCACCTCCCAAAGTGCTGGGATTACAAGCATGAGCCACCACACCCAGCCAGTTTTTGGTGTTTTTTGTTTTGTTTTGTTTTTGAGATGGGGTCTCCCTCTGTCACCCAGGCTGTGTGATCTTGGCTCACTGAAGCCTCAAACTCCTAGGCTCAAGCAACCCTCCCAACTCAGCCTCCTAATTAGCTGGGACCACAGGCACATACCACCGCACTTGGCTCATTTTTATATTTTTGGTAGAGACAGAGTTTCACCATGTTACCCTGGCTGGTCTCAGAACTGACCTCCCAAAGTGCTGGGATTACAGATGGAAGCTACGGGGCCCAGCTTCCAGAACTCTTTATACTACCTATGAGGTGATGCTCACTCAGCTTGTAGGTATAACAGTGACCAGGATTAGGGCTCTTCTGTACTCAGTATATTTCTTTTCTTTTCTTTTTTTTTTTTTTTTTTTGAGACAGAGTTTCACTCTTGTTGCCTAGGCTGGAGTGCAAATAGCACGATCTCAGCTCACTGCAATCTCCACCTCCCGGGTTCAAGTGATTCTCCTGCTTCAGCCTCCCGAGTAGCTGGGATTACAGGCGCCTGCCACCATGCCCGGCTAATTTTTGTGTTTTTAGTAGAGATGGGGTTTGGCCAGGCTGGTCTCGAACTCCTGACCTCAGCTGATCCACCCACCTCGGCCTCCCAAAGTGCTGGGATTACAGGCATGACCCCCACCGTGCCTAGCCCTGTACTCAGCATATTTCAAATCTCTCAGCTATTCTATATGGTAAATAGAAGTTTGTTCACAAAGGAATGGAGCTTCAGAGACGCTTAATAACTTACCTGAAGATACACAGCTAGTACATGGCAGTTTTGTCATCTGAACCCAGGTCAGGCTGGCTCCAGTGTTTACACTCCTGACTGCAATGCTAACCTCCAGGGGGCTGGTTAAACGGAAACCCTTTCCAGATGAATACTGAAGCTTAGGAATGCTAGTATATCCTGGCACCCTTGTTTAGGAAAAGAAAAAGTACGTGCTAAGCAAATGGAAGAAGACAGGGTGTGCTAGGGAGATCCCACTCCATCCCAGGCCTTTGTTCCTTCCCTAGATTACTCAGCCCTGTGTGTTTATCCTAAAGGGGCTTTGCAGCACTGGAAATTTGTTCGGCAGCTGATGTCCTTTTCTCTCCCCAGCATTCACTGCTCTAGGCAGAGACCCAGGGTCACAGCAACTCCCCAGGGCCTTCACATGTCCCCAGCGTCCATGGGAACTCTCCTCCCAGCCTTTCACACACACCCTCCTGTGCTGCCTCTCCAGGTTCCAGAAGTGGCTTGAATTCTCAGGAGATGGACGGTATATTCCCTTACTGGTCTAGGTCAGAAGAAGGGGGATGAAAATGTCCGGATAAGACAGGGCAGGAAACAGGATCAACTCCAAGTCCTTTGAAGAACAGGAACCAAACCATGGATAGTGAAGTTCAGCTTCTCCCTACTGAAATGATGGTGATGTTCCTACAGCATCTCAGCCCAGAGCTGAGAAATAATAATAATTGCTATGATTTACTGAGCACCTTCTCTGGGCCAAGCAGTGTGCTAATTGCTTTGTTTTTGTTTTGTTTTGTTTTGAGACAGTCTCACTCTGTCACCCAGGCTGGAGTGCGGTGGTAATCATAGCACACTGCAGCCTCAAACTCCTGGGCTCAAGGGATCCTCCAGCCTCAGTCCTGAGTAGCTGGGATTACAGGCGCATGCCACCACGCCTGGCTAATTTTTGTATTTTTAGTAAAGATGGGGTTTCACCCTGTTGGCTAGGCTGGTGTCGAACTCCTGGCCTCAAAGTGATCCACCCACCTCGGCCTCCCAAAGTGCTGGGATTATAGGCGTGAGCCACCATGCCTGGCCTCCTTTGTGTAGATTAATCCTCACAATAGGAATGAGGTAGGTACTATTATTATCCCCACTTCACAGACAAAAAACTGGGGCTCCATTAAGCGTTTTGCCCAACAGTAAGTGATAGAAAAAAGGCCAGATTTCTAACTCACTACTCAGGACTAACTTGAGAGAATGTAAAGTGGAAGGGAAGTCTTGAAATAGAAGAAGTAAAATTGCTTTGTATTTCAAAAACTTCTGAGAACATACAGTAACTAAAAAAAACTTCAAGGAACAGATTTTTGTAGAGTCCTGCTTTAGTAAACAGATAAGATAAAATTATGATAGCATCATTTTTGTGAACATGCCGAGACTTTAATGTTTTCCATTTATGCATTGCTACATTAGTAATTTGTTTAGTAGACCTCTTTTTCTTCCAAATCAGGTCACATCGATAGAAATTCTGATTTAGAGGGGCCTAAATCAATGATGCAGACAGACTTAGTGTAGGCCAAAGTCAGACATGGGATCAATTAGCCCACAGACCAACCACTCTAAATATTGGGTTATGCCATTTAATCTATTAGAGTCTATGGCTTTGTTGGTAAAATCAAGGTAGCACCTGCCCATAGGATGATCGCAAGGGTTAAAAGAGAATTGTTAGAATTCTGCTAACTCCTGCTGCTCCTCTTCCTCCAGGAGCAAGTGTCAGGGAATGGGTAGCAGGCTGGGGGAAAAGCGGAGAGTCCCTGACAACAGATGGCAAAGTTACCATATTCTGTGTGGTTCCGAATTCAGCACAGCCTTTCTCATTCCCTTCCCCCAGACCCCCTCCTTCTTGGGCTTGCCCACCCTAACTGGAAGCTTCAGGCTTGTTCTCCCTGTTGTGTTAAAGAGGAAAGGATGGGGGGAAGGGGGACTAAGTCTTGAAGCTCTCAACACGATCTAAGGCACAGCTATGCTATTTATAGCCCAAGGGAGCGAGTGACAGGGAGGGGAGGGACATGCAGCTTTTGCCTTGAGCTAATGGGAGCTGTGAGTGAGGGCATGATGGAGAATGAACCACACTAGGGACAGAGGATGCTCCCAGTTGGCGTTGGAATGGGAAGACATGGGGTTGAAAGGCTGGGAGAATCAGAGGGGAGAAAACATTAGGGGATAGAGTTGTGTCTGGGGCACTGAAAGGGTAAGGAGTGGAGTAACAGGAACAGGCAGTGA